CTCATGGCAACAGGAAAAGAAATAGAAGGGAATGATGACACAAGTGAGTTGAGAATACCGAATTACAGTCAGACCAGGCCAAACCCTACCACCATAGATGCTATAATGGACTGATTATTTGAAAGCTGAATCTGTCAGACATTGTTGTTATTGGTATCAAAAAATTTGAATATTCCTCCATGGGTGATAAACAGTGAATTTTAGACTTACTACATCTTCTCTCTATTTGGTCAGTTTAAAAAATCTTGCAAACTTTGAAAAGGTAAAAAATCTTTTGAAGACATTTATTTTAAGGTCCAAAAGAAGGCCCAGCTGACTGTTAGTGTTAACTACGTCTTGTGTGCTTATTCACTCCCTATTAAATGTCGTGGAACCTCTGTTCAGGGGACACCCTCGGGGACATGGCAAGTGTCCCCTGAATAGAGGTGTCCCCTGAATGGAATATGAGCTGGGGTTTGTTAATAATTAACCAACAAATAAAATATAATTTCTCTTATATTTTGCCTCGGAATCTACTGAAAACACTATTTTAAGCAGCTAGATAATGTTTAAAAAATGTTGATTAACTGCCTTATCTCTGTGATGTTATGTGTTGAATTCCTGCAAGTGAAGTACATAGATGTGAGTGATATAACTCATGTTTTGAAAGCTACTGCCGTTACAAATAGTGAACACTTAAACTTATCAATGATTTTTGTGGTCAGTCACTTTTTTAGCAATAAGCTGTCCCCCCCCCCCCTGCATGAAGGTTAAACCTGGGTTTCAGGACCCAGAAATAGTGTTCCTTTCCCCGTAATAGAGGTGTCTCTTGAATAAAGGTGTCCCAAAGGAGAGGTTCCGCTGTATACCTTAATAAAGAAATGTATCTGATATCGACAATGACTAACAGGTTCAATTTTCATAAATTATAATAAATCCATTAGTAGGATCTAGATGGGGGTAGGATTTACCTGGCTTGACTGTAAAAGGCAAATTGGCCAACTTCAGTCTTGTCATGCTTTGGATACAAACACAAAAACAGAACTTACACTAAAATCAGTAAATCTTTAGACTGTAGACTCCTTCCAACAACTCCTTTCATGGCTATTTAACAAGTTTCATATAACAGAGTGGTTTTTTTTTCTGTCAAGCAGTAAATAAAAAGGGCTATAATTGATTGTTATTTATATCCACCGAAAGACCACGGACCACTTACTCATCTAAACTGATCAAGCCAAATGTTATTTAACAACTTAATGATGACAGGTGATGATATAAGTGATGCTGCAGAAATCAGATGGAAATTAGGACCAACTCATCCAAAAGCAAAATGTCTTCTCATGCGATTAGCTACCAAAAGTAAGTATCATACTTAGGTATATTTGTTTTAAGTCAAAATCTTATTCAGGTTAAAAATTTTCAACATAGGTTGTTTCTCAATTTCATTTGTCTCTTAACCCCAACATACATGATCAAGAAAATAATATTAGGGCTAGGAGACAAAAGAATTGAGAATCAACCTTGGTTAACCTGAATTTTGTATTGACCTGTATCATATTTAATTCATGTTTGTTTTCTTTAATTTTGAGAAGTTTATATCTGGTCAGTTGTTTCTATACTATATTTAGAAAGAATTTGAGAACTTTGAAAACCTAACCTAAATTCTGTATTAAAATGACAAGAACTCTCTTATATATTCTGTGGTAAGTACCGGTAGGTAAATTTCAGCTGTACTCTTTTTGATCAGTCAAATTTTGATTTTATAATACTAGCCCACCTTAAAAATAATATTTAGTACTTTATAGTTCTCTTACCAGCACCTCTTGATATCCACATTATGGCCCTTAGGTAGTTAAGGGCATGGTGTTCATCATATTTATCCTTGTCTTGTTGTCTGAGTGCTGGGGTTAAATTTTAGAACCACAAAGACTCAACTACGTCTATTAATTATATCTATTGGTCATTTTCCATTTAATTTACAAGTAATATTCATCTATTTTGCCAATAAAAGTTTTTATTGAATTCCAGAGGATAAAAAGAAACCAGGAGCAGCACAACGAAGTTTGTATTATTTGATTCATGGAAATCCAAACTCAAAAAGTAACACAGGTTGGTGATTGTCTCAAGAAAATTGCTAGTTCATGTGGTAGGGGTTCCAAAGGGGGACAGAAAGGGTAAATGGCCTGCTAGCAGAGGACTCTTTTCCATGTTATTTGAATACCAGGAAAAAGAAGCCTCTCCTAGCTGGGAAAAGGGAAAATTGTTTGCAAAAGGATGATAAGGGCGCAAATCTTTGCATGAATATCCTCACTTTTACTTTTCTTTTTTTTTTCTTTTTTCAGGTTTTAAGAAAGGTCTTGTCAGCTCATCGAGGTAATGCAGGATTCAGGAACATTGTCGTTACTAAATTTTAAGACTAAAAAAAATATTGTCCTTTTTCACATAATTTTAGTTCTCAGCAACTGTCCCTTTAATAAAATAAATGGACCCATCATGTGATGTACAACAACCTCCCATAACCGACCATTAATACAAAACAGCAAAATTAATACTTTTCAAGTCAAGGGCAAACCTCTTATAAATTCCTAACTCTTGTACCATGTTTGGGAGTAGCAGTTTTAGAATTTTCCAAGGTACTTTTCTTTGGACCTCAGACTGTAAGAGGGAAAAGGGTAAAGCCATTGAGTCAGGCAGCATCAAATTTCTCCCAGTAATATCAGCGCTTTATTAAACAGAGTGGCCAGCATGATTAATGATTGATGTTTTAACATCCTCTACAACAATAGCAACAACAACAATAATGTATATTATTTAAATGATTAAAAATTTTTTAATCATTTAATCTTTATTTTCCTTATTATTAAGTTTTACAAAAGCACACTGGCCCACAGGTTGCTAGAGCTAATCTTGGTAGCCCAGTCAATTTACGTATAGGGAGTATTAAATTTCTATTCTTTTTATGTACATTTTAGTATATATAATATAATGCAGAAAAATTATGCAAAGGTGAGAAAGAATTTCCAGTACATAAAGGATTTAGAGCAACTAAAGGTTATTGTAAAACTACTTAGGAGGCTTACAGAGGCAACAAAGCAACAAATGAGAATTGAAATTTTGATGTCAGAGGTGAAATGGTTAAGCAGCATACCATTACTTTTTGCTTTGCCATTAAGAAATTGTGTGCTATTACTTTTTCCTCATTCCAATTTGAAGATGTGTCACACCTGTTTCAACCTCGTTCCCAGGGTCCCCTTCTACTCATTCCCCCCAGCCGCCGAGTAGGACAGGAACCTGGGAACGAGGCTTTACCTGTTTGTAGAAGAGAGGCCCTGGTTCGACTTTCATAAGCGACTCCTAATTCTGGACTGAAGCCGCCGGTGCGAATGCCAAAACGCCAAAATTTCCCTTCCTTGATTTGGGGAGGTGGGAGGCGGGTTCTAAGTTCTCTATTTATTTTGTCCAAGATTGTCGTATGCACTGTTCCTAAGTTCATCGTTTGTTCTCTCATGATTGGAACAGGAAGAGGAAAATACAGAAAGAAAGAGAACGAGCAAAGCACATGTTCGACAGCGGCCCTGAAGTACAGTTTCTTGAGAAAATCGAGCCAGAGCAGGAGGAAAAAATGGAAATAGATGAACCGCCCCTCAAGATTGTAGTAACAAACGACGGACCCACAGAGGCGCCCGAGAGAAGCGATTCTCCAAATCTGCGCATGCGTATGTACGCGGATACGGTGGAAGAGGATGACAGTGAGAGTGATGATGATGACAGAAGAGAAAGAAGAGATAAATGGAAGGGAAGAATTGAAAGAAAGGAAGAGAAAAAAGAGGAAATCAAACCACAGCCAACTTTGGACTTGCGATCTAAACTTCTGAGTAGAGAACGCCATGGTTTTAATTTCAAAAACAGACCCTCCTTATCCATAGAAATCAAAGAGGAGCCAACCTCTTGATTTTAGTCCAAGTTTATGTACAGTTAGGTACAGTTCTCAATAGGGCATTTGCACGTTGGCTTCTTTCGACCAGAATCGTTTTATTTTATTGCTTTATAAATTGCCTTTATAAATCCACTAGGATTCATAAATTAGATAAAACAAACAAAATCGAAATAAATGGGCCAAAACTTTTAATTTCCAAACGAGGCTGAGTACAAAACCTTTCTTGTGAAAATGAGTTATATTTGCATGAGAATAAATAGACTACGAGCAGTCTCTCTTTTTTCTTGGTCCGTCGAGCAAAACGCCCGAGACACGCAAATGATCACGCGCGTGTCTGAAGGCGTGGGACGGGAGAGGCACGGGCTGGCGCCCTCGTTTCTCGCGACTCGCGGCTTCGCCGCTCAACGCTCGCGTGCGCGTGCACTCCCCTTACTAAATCTGAAGAAAAAGAGAGACTGCTCGCAGTCTAGGAATAAAGGATCACTTTCTTATCAATGGCTTTGCACTCAGCCTCGTTTTGTAACAGAGGCTTAGGGCAACTCGGAAAATAACCTATTCTGGTAGTTGGGTAGTTGTATTCACTGACGTCATCGTAAAAATCGCCTATTACACCATGTAACTTTGATGTAATGAGCCAGCGGTATCTCTTTACCAACTATGCGCGAGGAGAACTGAAGCAAGTCAGCCGACATCTAGGCAAAATCACGAAATACGTGGCCCAAATTCTATTTTTAGTTTGCCCATTTAAGGAAAAACATTGCCTTTTCTATTCATTCCTAAACCTAGTATTTCGCTAGATTAGGTGTAAAGTTGGCAGAGTCACATGACACAAGACTTTCGATAGGAACCACCTCCATTCTATTGCTTTAGGTTTGAGCTCATCTTCGTGTGTATAATGTTCTTCTATCGAAAAAATAGGCGTTTTCCAACTAATCAGAAAAGAAGAAAAACACAAAGCGTAACCAATCACTTCGTACTTTTTTTCCTCTCATGGCACCTGTTGCATTACCTCAGTAACTAACTATTGGAAACTGCCCTGTTTTTTTACTCAAACAATTACTAGCATTTAGCAGTCGTTAAATACTTAACAATTATTCCTCGAGCCCGAATGGGCTCTGAGTCAATAGCCCATGAGGCCGAAGTCATGAGGGCGAGAGGAATAATTGTTTTAGTAAAATCCAACTAGTTGGTCAAAAATATCGAGAAAATAAAAAAATTTTAGCTACTTAAAGCTAGACTTTAATCCTTTTTTGCCGCCAAAAAGCGCGCGCTTTTCGCTACTAGTAGGCTATAACATATAGCCTTGTAGTAGCTCAACCAATCAGAACGCAGCATTGATAATAGACCACTACTTGAATATTTACTAAAATTAGATATCTCCAGGTATGTTCCTCGCGGCTCTTCGTTTGCTAGACACCATACACCGTACGTTTTCCAGTGCTTTAAACTGCAAAACTAGACGCGCGAGTCCATTTATTTTTGTTTTGTTGTTAATTTAATTTATATGGCCGTTATATCAGGGTTGCACCGTGGCTTTAGCATTGAACGATTCTTCCGAAACTAAAACAAATAATGTGTATCATTTTGACCTTAAATTTTCTTTTTTAGCTTGTACCTGTACGCAAATTTTTTTTTTTTTCGTGATGGCTTAGCTTATTTGTAGGATCTTATATTTTAAAAACCAGTATTTTAAACGCAACAACTTAATACTTCTGCCAAGACCGTTTCACTCGGAGAAAACCTGGGCAGAAGGTTTTGTTCTTGTAGAAGATTAGCACTCTTTCACTCCCAGAGTCAATGCTGAAATAATGTGGTGTGGATAAAATCCGAAGTTTAATCAGTTCAATGAATTAATGATATATTATAGGATGCGTTTGAAATTATATTCGCAATGCTGCGTGTAGTCACAATCCTAGATAGCAACAGGAAACAGGAAAAAGCCGCGCGCGTGATAGATAAAACGCGCCACTTTCCTATCCTTGACTTTGGGAGGAAGCCGGATCTGAATTTTCCGTCTATTTTACCCAAGATTGTTGCTCATTTTATTCGAAGGTAGTTTAATATCATCAGCCGCATTACCAAGCTTCTCATTACTCTTCTCTCCCGCACCCCGATGACCAGTCAAAGAGGACCCTTGGAACGAGGTTTGGGTATCGCGTGTCTAACGCGAGCGACAAAGGACAAGACTTCTCGCTTCCCGCGCGCACCATCACTTATCCGCTCAAAGGGGAAAATTGACCGCGGGAGAACCTGAGAGTTTACTACAGAGCGACATGGAAAATTGAAATTCAGGCACCAGTTGTCCAAAGGTGGATAATGCTATCCACTGAATAAATCTATATCCAGTGGAGAACATAACTGGTTTCCCTAATACTTTAGATTTATCCGATGAATAGCGCTATCCAGCATTTGAGCAACTGGACCCAGTACTTCAGGTTCGAACAGGATCTGGAGCAACCTCATCCCCAAGGAATTTCCCTTAAAAAATCATGGGAAAGGTCCTGGCCCGGGTTGTTGAAAAGATGGATAGCGCTATCCACCATTTGGGAAACCAATTGTGCTATATCCACTGGATAGAGATTTCTCCGGTGGATAACGTTATCCACCTTTTGAACAACGGGAGCCTGGCCTAAATTACTCAGTTTTTAGTAGATAGTGCAATTGGCTTCCTTAATACTCATCCGCAGGATAGTGATTTTACCGATCCAGGTTTTGAAACGACTGGGGCCTGGGGACAAGGTGGTAAATGATGACCTAAGCCACACCGTTTCCGTAGCCAAAAATACGGGTAGATTGCCTCTTAACCCGGAAAAAACGGCTAGCCCGGTTGCTAAGTAGAACGATGATGGCATTATTAGGTCTGCAATATCATGGTTGTCTTAAATATAACTACGTGGCAAACACTTTCCCCTACCCCGTGATTCTCATAGAAAGAAAAGGTGTATTTTAAGGCCTCTATTTTTGCATTGTGACCTTTTACCGGGTAGTTGGATGAAACGTGCTCTTGGGCTCTCTAGGAAGTTGTAAAAGGGTTTAAAATCGGGCCCTAAAATAGCCGTATCAGCGCAACAGGGAGCTTATAAAGTGGAAGATACTCTGATTAGAGGTTGTTTTTGAGATACATAAGTGGTAAGAATATTGGTATTGAGATTATATATTTCATCCGTTGAAACGTGATGAAAAATAAAATCGTGATCACTGAGGTCATGTTATCTTACAATCTAGGGAATATAGTGTGTAAATGACGTAAAACCATGTGACAGTTAACAGACCAAAACGACTGAGTCAGTTAAAATTCCAAAAGTCAGTATTAAATGCTCCTAAATGAATGAATAAAACAACCAACATCATCTTTTAGAAAGGTACGATTTGTTAACATTATGTATCAAAAAAGTATAAACATGATTAAAGGGGTCAGGCCCAAGACCGAGCAAGTCGCAGCGAAATTATTACCTTCCGTGTAGTTTTGGGAAAAACTGATAGATGTCCGGCTTTGATTTCGACAGTCATGAATGCTCGGGATGACGTTCTGTAAGTTGTTGCTTTCAATAAGAATTATATACGAAATTTGCGAAACTTGTATCTGTGCATGCTCGAGAAAAGCAATTGTAGACATTGACAAGTTAAGACAGATTAAGCCAGATTACAAGTGCCCTCGTTTAAACACTTCCTCTATCTGTCACAGCAATTTTTAAAAAACTACATGTACCAGTAATTCAATACACAGCACTAAGTATGTTTGTGCGGGTTTTTTTTTTTCAAAGGGGATTCCCATGAGTACGTGACAGAAGGTCAAAATAAACAATAAACTGGTTTTTTTTTCTCCTTCTGCCACCTTCTTCTCAGGCTCTCTCTCCAGGTGGAGAGAACTCTGGGAACGATGTTGCACCTTTTGATAACAACATGTACCGGATCGGACCGGATCGGACCGGATCGTGAACGCGTTTTTGTGCAGCAGAGAGCGAGTTTTATACGGCATTGTTTGTTGTTTTTTTTTTAAGCCTTGTTATTAGCCATGGTCTCCTGTATAAATTCACAATTACATGTAACTTTATTTACTTTGCTATAAAATTTTACTAGGCTTTTACTTTTTCTTTCAAGCCGAAATGGACACCATCTCTTCACTTTTTGGACTCGGACTGCCTTGCCGTCCGAACACATCAACTTTAGACTTTGATATCCACTGTATACCCGTGGTTAGATCAAAACAGCTAGACCTCAAGGATATACTCTTGCTGCTTTGTTTTTAGAGGATCGGCCTTGCTTAGGCTCCACGTACCCCCGGCACGTAACACTTCCGCGAGGTTTTTCTCTTCGTGGGTGCTGAAGAATATAATATATGCTTCGAGGGTAATCTAATCAATGACTTCTGCTTCACTTCATCTTCAGTAATGAAGGCTTTTTGATTGTTTCTTTTAGCGGAACTCCAATCGCTTCACAGTTTCTTTAGAAAAAGACGCCTCCTCTTCCGCGTGTGGGCAAGACACTTGCTTACACTTGCACCCCCTTCACGCACCCCAATCCTTCCCTACCGCAGGCTGCTGAGAAGAGACTGGAACTATCATAATACAATTGCATGATGGGACTGCCGGCTCCCGCAGCCATTACAAGAACGTTCACTTGACGTGGAGTCGGTTCATAAACGATAAATTTTTCAAGGAAAATCGACCATATTTCGCCAGAAAGTACACAAATAGAAGCCTAGGACATTTTTCCGATAATCTGCTGTCACTTCTACGTAAAGAAGAGCTTTCGAAATGTCGTACATGCTCCAACATCTAAACAACGGCTGGCAGGTCGATCAAGCCATCATGTCTGAAGAGGACAGGGTTGTTGTAATCCGTTTTGGGCATGATTGGGACCCTACGTGCATGAAAATGGATGAAGTCTTGTACTCCATTGCAGATAAGGTGAAAAACTTTGCGACGATCTACCTGGTCGACGTTACAGAAGTGAATGACTTCAACAAAATGTATGAATTGTACGACCCCTGCACGACCATGTTCTTCTACCGAAACAAACACATCATGATCGATTTGGGCACAGGAAACAACAACAAGATAAACTGGGCCTTAGAGGACAAGCAGGAAATGGTCGATATTATAGAAACTGTTTATCGTGGAGCGAGGAAAGGGAGAGGTTTGGTGGTGTCACCTAAAGACTATTCCACAAAATATCGGTATTGAGACAAAATGACTGTTTTGCAATGGACCCAGAGAAGCTGTCTTGACCAGCCGATTTTTTTTTGTGTTAACTTGCCTGACAGCTACTGTCAATAGTATACTAACTAACTGCTGAAGTTAATGAAAACTAGAAATGCTTGAATTAGCATCCCCACTTCCTGGGTGCTATTTAGGGCCTTCCCCCTTTTTTTTTTTTCGGTTAGCGTCAAATGCATTTCCTGATATTGGGTCGGTCGGTCGGTCGGATTGAAAAAAAAAACCTACAAAAAAAAAACGCAAGAGGTCTCGGAATAGGAGGCCCTGGTACCCTTAGCCTGTGAACAGGCTCTCTGTGTGGGGAGATGGGAAAAAATCGCAAGGAGAGAGAAGAGAAAGGGTGAGTCCCTCTCCTCACGATTTTTTCACCCCATCCCAAAACAGAGGGCCTGTTCACAGGCTATGGCACCCTGGGATGACGTTAAAAGTTAACTTTCACATAACTGGATTAACAAAAGGTACAATTTGCTGTAAAAAATGTTCCTGTTTTTCTCTATGCTGTTACTATGATCATTTTTCAGATAGATTAAAAGAATTATTCCAAGTGAAAAATGGTTTAACTACGTCATTACTTTTTTTTCTTTTTTTGAAAATGCCACAAATTTGGGTCGGTCAGACAACGCTAAACAGAGAAAAAAAAGAGGATGGCCTAACAGAACTGAGTGAAGTCCAGTTGGTTTTGTAATCATAAGAGTGATCAATCACAAATATAATCTCAGTCAGAATTGAATGAAACAAAGTTTTTTTACCAATTTGTCATAACTAAAACAAATTGGTTATAATAACTTGTGATAATTTCAGTCTGCTCAATTATCAAAACATAAGATCTCTAGTCCCAAAAACTTTTTCTAGGTGGGAAGAAAAACCTAACACCCTTTCAAGTGCAACCATTGCATTATTACAGACACGCAACGGCACATACTGTCCAATGCATGTACGGTCTTACAACATAACTGTAATGGGACTGAGTGGAGTCCAATTTGGTCTGTAATCATACCAGTGATTAACAGAATCAGAGGACTGCATAGCGTGAGTCCGATTTGTTTAATCACGAGTATGATTTCAGACCCATTTGGACAACACAAAGTTCTATTACCAATTAATCATAACTATAACAAACTTGTGATATTTCAAGCTTTTTAAAAATTAAAACACAGGCAATTATGAGAGTTTTTGGCTGGAAGTAAAAATAAAAACCCATTCAGGTATCACCTTATGGTGTGTACTGTTCTGATACATTGTCCTATTATTGCTGCAATTTGATTGGCTTAGAGCAGTGGTATTTCAGCTTAATTGAAATACCTACATGTGAAAATTACAAACCTTTTGTGGGTAGTAGTATAAACAAATAATAGCATGATTTGTACGTGATATTTGGCATAAATACTACTCGTGATATTTCAAAATTGTCTCAAATTTCACTCGCCTAACGACTCGTGAAATTACGTATAACAATTTTGAAATATCATTCGTGGTATTTATGCCAAATATCACTACAAATCATGCTATTACCTGTACAAACCAAGACAGTTGATAGCTAATCAGATTTGAGAATGTTGGTATGGTTATGATTAGTGCTGAAATCAGCCAGATGTATGTCCCAAGTTTTGTTCAATGGAATGGTGATAGTTTGTCTTTCAACAATCTTGCTGCAGTCTGTGCCAGCAGGAATGAGTTGTGTAAAATTACTATTACATCAGCAGTCCTGCAAAAATAAACAACTGAACAACACATTTTTTTTTCTATAACCATTTTTCTATTCATCATTAAATAAGCATAGTAAGGTAAAGCCAAGCACTTTTACTTCAAGTTGTTGTGCAAGAAACTGTGGGGTAGGTAGCACATGCAGCCTTCATGGAGAGGTATTCGGACAGGGGAACCTTTTTTGGCAGAACAGTTGTATATTAAAAAAGGGTAAGGGGTTCGGCCTCGGGTATAAACATGTATAAAACTTTCTTTCCTCGTTGAGTTCAGCCCTGGGGAGACTTGTTATTAATTGAAAAAAAAGCTTCACAGACTTCACAGGAAACAGACTGTAGACAAACATAAAATTTTAAGTAAACTTGGAAAACCAAAGGGATTGAATCCATAATCCGGATATAAGGAAAAGTCTTGTTCCGAACGAATGAAGAACCATGTTGGTGAACCTTAACCTGTCACATTACACACGGTAACTGTTTCGCGCCAAAAAAGAGTAGCCGGCACACGCGCATGAGCTCTCTTCAAAACATTTTTCAGGACTACAACAACAAAACCATCGAAAGAAAACCCGGAGAACTTTGAAGTGTAAATTCAAAGAATGACAGTGGCTCAATAGCTGAAGGTAAGATGACAATTCTTAACGAAACGACCCTTTAGGGACAAAACAACGATAACTTTTTTTTCCGCGTGAACTACTGAAACAATTGGCTTCTTTCAAGTTACAATTTTACAACATAAAAAAAAAAACGTTGATAACGGCCAAACCGAACAAGAAGGCTCTCAAACTGAACAAGAAAGCTCTCCAAAGCGTAGCTTTAGCTATAGCGGGGCTCATTTATGGAATTCTTTACCAGAATATGCTAGAAACATCAAATCAATAGGACAACTCAAAAGGGAAATTAACGAGTGATGCAATCATCGGTTTCCCCCTCGGCAATCTTGTGAAACAGTAAATAAAGTGCACTGCACACATGTATTTTTAACTAAAATATTTATTTGTAACTTCGAACATTACTAAATGATTTTACCGAGTTCAAAGTTCTTTGTATGTATGCATGAACAAGTTCAAACTCTTGTTCTTGTTTGTTCCTTTTCTGTGAGTCGCTGCTTGACTTGAGAGCGCCTACTTCCATCAAGAACTCTTGGGAGCTCGCAAAGACATTGAACACTCCAAATTTTTTACTGTAGTCAGTACAAACTGCAGTGTTAATAAACAAAAAGCGCTCTCGAAATCTCTCCTTTATTAGTTTATTTCTCGTCAATTATGCCGGACCACTCTTGGCATATTTATAGTGTCAAAACCACCGAACCAAACTCGCCAGTGCTCACTGGTTTGATCACGTGGACTTCAAAACAACCGTACGACTCTAAAGATATATCTTACAAGGCCTAAATTTCTCATACCGAAATTTGAGGTATAAATGAGTCTATTCCTAAAAAGTCAGGCTTATTTTTAAAAAACTATATATATTGCTCACCTGATCAATGAAAACAACGTTAAGATTTTAAAACATGCCATGATTTATCTTAATCTAAACTAAAAGAAAAACTCGATAATTCAAAAGTAAGAGTACGATCTCTCTCTCTGATTGTTGACCTCATTTTGCTTGGGTTTTATATACTATAAAACAAAGCCGGCTGGAAAGACAGATTTTGCGCAAAAAGCTTCGTCAGCGAATTGCGTGAATAGGGTTCCTGGCATCACTGATGACGTGCATTTGTCGAGTTACTGGTCTTCTCGTGTTATTTACAGTTTTTCATCAGTAGAAACGGAAATTGTGTAGTAAATCACTTATGATTTTTATTTCCCTTTTTACAAGCGTGGGGAAAGGCCTTTTGTTGTTTAAAAAAGAACACTCGAGATTTTTCTCAGAAAAATGAATAAGGAAACCAAAGTTCTCAGGGAATTTAAACGCTACTTAAGCCTTCTACCTTTATAAACCTTAGACGTTTCTAACGAAACTACCAAAACTCATAAGGCTAGGAAATAATGACAATTACATGTAGAGGCAGATCTAGAAAATTCAGAAAGGGGAAGCCGGGACACTTGCCAGCTATATAGATACTATTATTTAACCGAGAATTCTTTTTAAAAAATAGCAAATTTCATAGAAAAAAGGGGGCCGCGGTCTCCTTGGAACACCCCGAAATTCTCCCACGAATTAAATCCTCCCCAGGCTACCTTTTTCAGCCGTACGGTTTTACAAGCGGATTCGCTTTGGCCCTGCTTGACGCAGAATGCTTACACTCCTGCACCGTTGTATATTGCCGCCTTACCTTGGTTATTCAGTCCCCTATAAAACCGTGGTCACTGGTAACCTTAATAAACCTTTCTCGTGAAACACCGAAATAGTGGTTCGCTTAAACAGTTTATAGCATCCGCCCAGAATAGATGACGGATTTAAGTAGCAATTTTTAAAATTTGATTTACATCTTTAACTAATAATAAACTGAGTCCAATCAGCTTATCACTGAGAGTGTGTTTCTCTGCAAAATCCTATCGTGGGATTCAGTTAACATTGTTTCAAGTAAGTAAAGGTCACGATCAGTTGACGTGTGTGTTTCGGCACAATAAGCTTTTTCCTCCGCTGTTCCAAGGGGTTCCAACATCAAGCTGATCAAGGTATCGTAGTCCTCGGCCTTACACCATCGTCAAATAATTTATAAACTGATATATTAACAACTCCGTTCTGGTCAGGAACAGGGGTAAGAGTCAAGTGTACCGTCTTGTTTAGTAGCTCACTTGTTTTTCCCCACAGCGCTTCTTTACAAAATAGCCTCTCGGACATCCGGTTTAAAAGAATAAGACTTGAGTATTCTGACGATAGCCGCTACTCCATCACTTACTCAAAACGCGGGGGATAAAAAGGATTACATTTTTTATTATTTTACTCCCTCTGACCATACTTTGCGACTTCCTGACATCCGCTTTCATTAAACCGTGAAGTGTAAATGTGCTCATTACTTATATGTCGATCGATTCTCATCCGTTATCTGGGAGAGTCCTTGACAACTAAAACTCTAAATGTTAGGGCATCCCATTTTTTAACAGGGGAATCAAAAGGATGAAGTTTTGATATAGCTATAGGTCCTCTGGCTATAAGTTCGTAAGGGTCTTACCCTAATTTTATACTACTAGTAGAGGCCCCGGATAAAGGTACTAGATCATCGACCTAAACCAGATTCAGTGACCTCTACCGGTTTAAGTGAAAACGGGGTTTTGTTGTCGATGCTTATTCTCAAATTCGAAATCGTTTATTACTGATCGTCTAGTACTTCAAATCAAAGAGGGGGAAAAACATTTACTGTACACCTACAAACATCAAAATAAATAGAAATCACCGAACTCGATGTGACATTTTTTATTCCGCCCCCCACTGTTCATTTTTAAAAATTGCGACTTCCTGTCATCAAGTTTTAATGATGGCGAGCCGTTATATAATTTTTTGATAAGTAGTTATTTCCTGTGTCGAGCGATTCTTGTCAATTTCTGGCCACGTAGGGCTAACGTCAAACCATTACAAAACCTAATGCTGATAAGCAAAGTCTATTCTTCTAGCCCAGTTATTATTTGGTTCGTAGCAAGTAAAGTTCGCCTCATTAGTCTGTACCCGGGGGTGTGTTAAGTCTGTTAGAAAAGATGTTGCTTTGTTACAGCTATAAAAGCTGCTTTTGGGAATCACCTTACCCTTAATAGTAAAGAAATAAAAGGTGCGGAAAAAGGTATTTAACCCAATGATCGGTATATCGGAAAGGTCACTGTTCCAACATGAAAAACAGTATTACTGCATCAACGACTAGGAAAACCTTTTTTTCTCTTTTTTATATTATTATAAAGGTAAAAATAAATACCAGTATTAACAAGAAATAACATGAAATTCAACAACTATACAGATATTTAATACAGGGAAGAAACTGGCTTGTTTGGGCTCTCAAACGTTTCGAAGATTCTTAAACTCTAAGCAGAAAATTGTACAAAGGATGGGTAGGCTGCCTGCTTTAGTCATTAATAAATCACTGATCGTCTACCTCATAAACTCAAAAAATAAAACAACTACAACAACAAAGCGATGAAGGAAAATACTGACACACACACACACACACCGGTATCAAAATGACGGAATTCTCTGTCTTTTACGTAAGCTCCGTCCGCTGGGCTTTCACGAGTCTATAACCACATTTCTGTACTTGCACTTGCGACTTCCGTTACCTTCTATCATCAAGAGATGTTAACTTAGGTTACAGTACTATTGATACTACAGCTATTTTTGACAGGATTGTTCAACGTATTGCAACAATTAATAAAGCATTTTCTATATTTGAAAATCTATTCATTCCAACGGAATGGAGTAATGAACTTCCTTTGGAACTGAAACTACCGTAAACTGAGCACGCTACAATTGCAGTGACATGAACATGTCCGTCGATGTTTGAAATGCCATAAACTGATCGTTCAGATATTTCTTGTATTTTGTAACACAAATCAATAAACGGTGACATTAGGGTTACAATATCTTCAGGATTAATTTGTTCTTCACAAAGGATGATTTTAGCTGATTAGATTAGAGAAACAGAGGTTCCCGTGCATTGAGAATTGTTGAGGTCGTCTGCTAGATCGTATGTCATTCCAAACAACAAGCGTCACCTGCCTTTTCTTATTAGCATACCGAGAAGTGTGCAGATTTTCACGGTACTAAGTGTGCAAAAAAGTCAAGCTGCTCCTTTTACAACAAAGGTAAATTTAATCATGATAATAAAATAATAATAAGAATAACTGAGACTCTTTTGTAGTATACTTGTTAGTCAGGTGCTCGGCCACAGTCAGTTATCAAGCTTGAACGCCAACTCAATTAAAGACGAGCGTACTACTTCATGCATAATCACTGATTACTTCTGGTAAGCAGAATAATAACGGTGAGATAGACATCGAATATCAAGGTATAAAGCCGCTGTATAAATCAGTCCTCGGCGAAGCGCGTCTTAGGGACATTTCATCTTTATTACTGCCAGAAAATCTTTAACGTCAAAAGATGTCAAGTCTTTCGCAATGTTTATCAAACAAAAGACGACCTTTTTTAAACTGGTGTCCGATTTACTGCGGATTAGTTATTCTTTTCCTATCATGTTTGATTAGCAAAAATGGTGACAGGGTCATTTAAAACAAGTGTCACGCGTCATGTACAGTCTGAAAACCTAGAAACAACAAGATGCTCAGTATAGCTCTCTAGCAATAGTCTTGCCTTGGGTGACAAGGTATTTTAGTCGCAAAATCCATGTCGAAAACCGACCGGCAAAGATACGCCGCGGACAATGCAGCGCAACGCCTCAGGAGCTTTTTTGAACGGCCATCAGTGATGTTTAGTTTTCAGAGCGGACCACTAGAGTCAAGAACCAGTTTCTCGGTCCGAACCTTGAAAAGCAGGGTTATATTCGTCCCTCAGTCAAACTGATAAAAAGCAGACAGCTACCATATGGGGATATTTTAATATAAAAATATCTCTATATGAAATGGGATTTTTTAAAAAGAAAAAGAAAAACACTCAGTAGCATGTTTTTGGTTTAAAAACCGTCAGATCCACAAAAAATTGAACAAAAAATCGAGCTATAATGTTGCAACTTTCCATTCCATTTTTGTTTACACTTCGACAGCTGTGAATCGCAATCTAAAAACGTGTACTTAGCTCAAAGCAAACTTTCGTAAAATTGTATTGACTTTTACAATATAACGTCATATTTAAGCATCTAGTACTTTTCAGTTACGTTTGCTGTCAGGTCCCCAAAGAATCTTTCCCCGTTTTTTGATTGGTTGAAAGTGCGGAAAAACTCGCGATTGGTCAACCCATCGTGAATATAAATTCGTTCAAATTTGCATTTTTGGCTAAGTGGTTCTCGGCAACATATCGCTCGGCAACACTAAACAATGGCAAGTTTCATGCAAATTTGGTTTTCTTCGACGTAAAACATTACGTCTTCTCTGTTTTTGGTCATGTGCGACTGCCTATTGATGCGTGGAAATTATGGCGGTCGGTTGGAGAAAAAGCAAATGAAGTTCCCAACGCGAATCGCTATTTCTTTGGATATGAACGACTATGAAATTGGAGTCGACGATTTTCATTCTGAACAAGATCTCGGTGGAGAAAACTGCGGGTATGAGCGAGATTTTTGCAACGGAATAAGCGAAGACGGGCAAGATTTGGCAGATGTGGAAGGTGAAGGAGATGATGACATTTATCGACAGTTAGCACAGAAGGAGAAAGATCTTTTACTGGCAGCTGAACTGGGAAAAGCTTTATTGGAAAAGAACGAAGAACTTAACCAGAAGTATGAGATGTTACAAGAGGAATATTCTCAAGTTGTGGAAGTAAGCGTATTGAATGAAAATTTCTTTTCCGACCTCTATAGTATTACGCGCGACTGAATTTGTTTTGTAATGGAACTGGTTGTTAGTAAGCTAAAACAATAATGTTTCGGTGCCGTTGATTTTTTTCATAAGGAAAATTTTAACCGCAAATTTATATTTCTTTTTAACAGGAGCTGGAACAAGATAAATACGAGCTCAAATTAAAAGTGGAACGCTTACAAGGTGGAAATGACTCGCGAGTTCATGAGCTTCAAGCTGATTTAATAGCGCTACGAAATGAATTGAAAACACTGCAATCCAACTCAAAAAACGACCAACAAACTAAGAGGGAAACGTTTGCTGGACTCACGGAAGAGAACGAACAACTTCACTTAGATTTACAAAAGGTAAGAGGCAGTTTATACAAAGGAACAGTGAGGGAAGTTTCCCGGGCGGGGATGGGTTTGAAAAAGAAGGAATTTTTGCTGTTATTTAAAATCACGAATGCAGCCAGCTATATGACCACGATAATATTATTTTGTGTTCGGAAGAGCACCAACAAGGAAATGTTGTGGGTCTTTTTCCGGAAATTTAGTGGGTAAATAAAAAGTTAACTATTTTTGGCGGATTAGGTTTATCGTGTCTCAAAACCCTCGCGAAACCCGATCCCAACTTGTAAATGGCTAATTCGAGCGATAAGAGATAGAGGAAGTAGCTCGATTTAGAGTCGTCGCAGTTTTTGTATTCGCTACAATGAGCAGTGAATCAAATAGGAAACCTCGAATTGAGCTTTAACCGATACATAAAAAGATTCGTCTGGTTGTGTTCTGGGGGTAATCGTATTGCTTTTGAGGAATTATTTAAGATTGCAGCATTCCATATCGTGAATTGGATTGTCGCCAAATCTCGTTTATACATTGACAAGATCTTTTATGCGCTCTTGAGACAAAGTACATAACGATCTGAAACACGATTTTTTCTCTGATGTGGCGAACTACGACCACTATCTTGAACGTGGTCAGGAATATTCCGCGGACGTCATTCTCCTTTAAAAATCAGTGATTTCTATCTCCGTCATCTCCGGGTGGGTAATGATTTTTAGGCTATGCATGACTAAGCACTATATATCTATAGATGGGCCTCTTCTTCTCTTCACGCGAATTCTAGAACAAAGAACCGCATTAACTATATGTGAAATTTTTCCACTAATGTTCTTCGCAAAATAACCTCGAGTTTCTAAGTTGATTTCCGCGTACAAATTTTTGAGGAAAAGTTAGTGGAAGTGGAGGTTACAGTTGTTGATTTCAAAGGTATTTGCAATATCCACTGCATCAATTGTGCGTGTCAATCTCTGAAAGTTTTGACGGTCAGTTATGTGCCTTCGAGAGCTTTATAAACAGTCTTAAGACTAAGATTTTACAAAATAGGCCTCATTCTTAGAGAGTACGAGAAGCTTAATTTCATTGGTTTGTGTACCACTTTCCTTCTGGATCTCCATTTATTTTGACCTGTTACTGATCTTGCAGTGATATATTCTCATGTTCTATGTTGAATAAAAACTGTATGTCCTTTTGAAACGAGCACTAAATGATAATTCACCAATATCACAATATAGAAATAGCACTCTCGAAAACAAGCATAAATCCCTTCGCCGTGTTCTCCTTTTAAGTCTAATAACAAAGAAAAGAAGCATACTGAGAGGTCCCTCGTGGGTCTACAAAAGCTTCTCTGCATGTACTAGTAAGAGAGTTATGTAAACCATGTGCAAGAAAGTTCCATTGTTTACCTTTTACGACAAAGGGTCTTCAAGAGAGAGAGTGAAGCATGGATTATGCTGTAAGCACTATTTTAAACAACAAAAAAATGCATGATTGTAAAGCCTTTGGGCTCACTAAAAAGGTGAATTTAGACAAGTTAATTGCTTCTTGAAAAAATGTAACTCTTGTAAGGTACCAGTGTAAAACAAAACAAGACATGTACCAGCTCTTAAATTACGTATGTGAAGGAAGTCTGTCTAACATAATAACTCTGTGGGAAATGGTTGATCCATTGTTTGTGAGGAAGACGAAAGTCACGCACGAGGGTCTATGCTTTGAGAATGTTTTTAAACTTAAAAGTGACGCTTCATAGCATATTGTTTTGTTATGTTTTATATCTCTGCTTCATATTATGGAAGTAATCTCAAGCAGCTCCGAAATATATAAGAGAGTATATAAGAGATAATAGTGTTTCAATGTGAAATGGGGCCTCAATTGACACACAGTAATTTCCATTTTTATAGTTTTTGCTAATGATATTTTCAAAATACCACTGCTTCCTATTGTTATATTGGCTCACAATCATTGCTTTGCTGAAGATTACTTTTGCTATTCGCTGTTGTGCTCTATGCTGATCTGTGGTAAAATTCGATATTATTACTTGTGGTTGTTTTGTAGACTTAAGCCCTGACTGTTGACCAAGCATTTGAAAAAAAAAGTTTGAAAAACTTTCCACAATGACTCAAAATCAAAGGATTCTATTATGTGTTTCCCTCACAAACAATCATTATCAGGTGCAGAGTGAGTGCAATATAGGCCTTTTTGGTGACAGCATTTTATCACTTTTTAGAAACAAGTGTTATGGAAACTTTTGAATATAGAGACCCCAGAGCATCCACAGAAACCAGTAATATTAAATAACTAAGTCACTTTGGATGTACTATAAAATCTTACATATGAGTCCAAAACATGGCCACAGCAAGTTTTATGGTGAAATGGCAGACATTTTTTTCCTTTATTCTCGTTATTAGAACCTAATCTGAGGCTTTTTGCTAATTAACCTTGAGCATTGTTTACAGAACACTTGCACATTTTGGTGGAAATTAATTTTACACAGAACAAAATTTGTCAGACTGTTGTGTTCTCAGTTAGACCGTAGCGATGGGTGGTGTGTCACTCGTAAGTGTTAAACCTGTGAATTAAAGTGTTAACTGCACCCTGGAAGGTTTGGAGGTTTCAATATGAAAGTGATAACTATATTTTGTGAGGTTATAGCCTTGAATACAAGTTCCATTCAGTTAGTGTTACTATTTTGTTGCTTCTGATATGGTGAATCAGTGTGAATCTTTTAAAATTATTTAAATACGTTATCACCCACATAACTACATGTACTAAAATACTATATCTCCTTAGCATTCTGGAATAAGACCGAATATTTCAACTTACATTTAATGTTCTGAATAATATTATTTCCCAATAGAAACAGACCAATTTGAGTCAATTTATTGTTCTATATTCAGCAGATATTATAACAACTAAGGAGTGTCTGACCTAAAGCAAATATAATGAGTTATCTCTTGAAACATCGCGAAAAATAAAGAAAAAGCAAAAAAGAAAACAATATCAACTCAGAACCAACTGTGATTGTTTTAATTAGATAGCTTGATCAGATTTCCAGCATTAACGTCTAGACAGCAGTATACCATTGAAGGTACTAGATTCTATTAGTCCAGGGAAAAAGATCCATACAAGGTGTTATGCTGCTGCAAAGTTAATATTTTCCTCACTTTTTCTCACGTTGTTGATACTAAACATCAATATGACATTTAAAAAAACAGTGATAATGCTCAAATACACATCGGTGATTTTCAAAACTTTAGCTGATTACAAATGTTGAAGATAAGGGTCTAAAAACTGGTTTGCCATATTCTGGAAAGAGAATGAATTTAAATGAAGTTTATTTAATACCTTTTGGGCACATTGACACATGTTAGTTTACCTGGTTTCATCTATACCTTGGCTGATATACAATTTATTCACGTTAACTCCACATTCCAGTGGCCCCCAATTAAGATGGTTAGGATTTGATAGCAAGCATTTTTTTTTGGTTTTCTCCAAGATTCAGAAATATGATGACCAAACAAAAATATGTGAAAATGCATGGCTTTCAAGTAAGAGAAAGTTAAAAATCAAAACAAACTGTTTGGAAGATGTTTCTGAACATATTTTTTTACAGTACTAGCCTTGGATTTCTCAAGAATATAACATTGCTCCATGCATGTGTTGACATTCAATATTGCACTGTAATGATCAAATGCCCTTGGATACAACTATACCTTACAACCCCCCCTTACTGGACACCTTCCTTAATTGGACATCTTGATTTGGTCCCAGCCATTATTTAGTTATGTTCTTTGACTCTCTATAAGGTAGAGCCTCCCTATGGGTATTTCCAAAGAAACTGAAGTCATGATGAATGTTAATTATTGAGGAAACAACAATCTTAACAATTAAAGGGATGATCGCATTGCCATTCTGATCAAGTTTGACGACGCTTGCATTGATGGCAAAAAACTGCCAAAAAGTGTGCTGCATGTTCAGAGTTTTAGTTTTGCTTGTTAAACCTGCTGCATGTTTTATTTTATCATTCTCTTCATCATTACTGTGGTTGCTCAAGCTCATTAGTAGCATAACCACGCAGAACAATTCTTGATATGTGACAATATGCAACCGAAAACAAACTGCTGCAATGTTTCATCCATTGAATTTCAGGCCTCATGCAAATTAGTCGGCTAAAACTGATGACAATTCAAGCTGTCATTATTTATGCCCCACAGAGTTGTAATGTGGAATAAAGCTCTTAAATATTAATCTGAGGTGTTCAAAAAAGTTTTAAACAATATATTCAATTTCTTATCATCTGCTTCACTATTAATTTTGCAATCACACATAGGAGGGTTTGTGTATTGTTAAATCACAGCAGTGGTTCATAGACACAAAAAAATTAGATTTGGTAAGAGTTGTATGTTATTACTACATCTTTATAGGTCACCAGTTGTAATTTAATTTTTAGACTGTGGGGAGTGTAAGTAATTAATAATTAATTAGAATGAAGACATTTTTGTATTACATGAGCCCACAAGGTAAAGCTTAAACTTAATTGTACATGTAATGGTATATAAATAAAGTTTTATCACTATTACGTTTTTACAGAGGTAAACTGGTGTCATTTATCTTCTAATTATTATTTTTTTTTAAATTACCTCAAAGCCAGATGTTTACTAATAATATTATTATTTCTCAAAGTTAATCTACCTAAAAAAGTAGGAGGGATTTAAGTTAGCTAAGTCCTCGAGACACATGTTTACTCTGTTTCAATAAATTATCAATAGCATTTTATTCATAAAGTTTGTGGTTTGGAAATACCAACTTCATGAGAGGATTCTCTTAGAATTGGTAATAGAATTCAAACCATATTAACCTCAAGTGCCTAAATGTCTCACTGTGCTTACTTTTAATAATTAGAAGCCACATTAAGAATCCCTCTAAGCTGAATGCTTTGGTTATTTTGAAGCAATGAAAAAGCAATTTTCCTCTAATAGCAAGGCTAAGGAGAAAAAAATATAAGTATGACAGTATAGATTATAAAGAAAAAAAAATATTATAACCAAAAAGTAATTAAAACAGTAAAAAGCATGTGGTCTGTGGGAAACATTTGAACCTTTCAAAATCCAACTCCAATTGAAAAGCAACATGGAAAGCTGCAAAAATATAAAATGAAATTTGATTATCTTTCGAATCCACCTTGATTTCAAATCCCCAAGAATCAATGAATGTTTTCATTCAACTAATAATTTACTCTTTTTTTGTTTCACGTCACCATGTTCCCAATAACAGACTACTGCAGCTCTGCCATTATATAGAGGAAAATATAGAGGATGTGAATTTTATATTTAAGTGACAAAAGTGATGCAAATTAATGAGATATCATTTTTGCCATAAGAACATGAAACTTCATATCTTTGAGCTAATGAGTCACTTTCTTTTTAGGGTTTAATATACATGTGTGTACGCCATACGACCAAAAATGGGATAAGCTCTTCTATACATGTGGCTCTTGTTAGCTCTTAGTTTGACTTAACCTTTTTTTCACTTAAATTTCCTTGAGACAAGCAACAAGATGGTACATTTCCAGGAATTAAACAAGTTTATTATTAGCTGCTAATTAATACTGGTACCTTGTCTTGATTTTAGATTAAGACAGAGAATGAACAACTTAAAAGAGATCATAGCCTCCTTAAGAAACAGCTTAGCAGGAAAATAAGCTTTGATGATGATGGTTTACAACAAGTGGAAATTGAGGAACTCTGGGAGAAGGTACTTTTTTACTTTTTAAATCAAATAAAAATAATATTAATACTATTATTTACCTGCTGCAGAAATATTATTTAACAAAGGCTAATGGACCTGAGCAAACAACTAACATGGAAAAATTATCAAAGAAACATAATTGGGTTAAAAATCCCAACTGGCTGGAGGCAAACCAGTGTTTACAATAATATCAAGGAATTGAATTCACACTGCTGAGAACAAATCAGTCAATGAGTCATATTACATTACTAATAGCAGGAGTACTGTCAGTCCACTAGACCTAGTGTAGCTGGTGTAACTGTCATTGTTTGCTTTTTATTGCATTGTTGATATTTGTTTAGCGTCTTTTTAAACTTTTTATTACTAATAGCAGGAGTACTGTCAGTCCACTAGACCTAGTGTAGCTGGTGTAACTGTCATTGTTTGCTTTTTATTGCATTGTTGATATTTGTTTAGCGTCTTTTTAAACTTTTTATTACTCCGGTGATTGTACTATCTGCAAGACTAAGGAACTACCACTGTCAAGCTGAGGGTTGTCAAAGGTAGTTGGTTGCTAGCTAAAGTTCTATGAACCTACTACATATATGGCCTCTTGGCCAGATAGCTCCACTGCACTCTTTGTTAGAAGTAATAGAGGAGATGGCACCCTACATCACCTACTGTTGAGAATATGGCTTCCTATGGTGTATGACAAAATGTTGTGACAATATCAACAGACTCTTACCCAGCAAACCACCTATTTATTCTCACAAAGGACTATGGAAAGGAAAATTGACGCTCGAAAGGAGCTTGAGAGAGAGGGAGGAAATGCGTTTTTCTTCTTTCTTTCTCTTGATGCACTGTGAACTCACTAAATCCTTCCGATTATCACAGCACAAACAAATAAAAGCAACTGGGTTCGAGTCTGCAACATAAAGCCTAAAAGCTTCTTCAATGTTTAATAAAATAATATTATTATTATCTCACCAGCTTGCAACGCTTGAAGAAGAGAAGCTCAGTTTGACACAAACTGTTTCAGACCTCGCAGCAACCAAAGAAAACCTTTCAAAAGAAGTAGAGGAACTTTTAGCAAGAAATCAGTCATTGGAGAAGAAACTTACAGCAAGCAAGGGGCAGGTAATTATTAAGCTACCTTCTCCATTCAACCTGGCTGATGGAGAATTTTCCTCTTATTTAAATATAATTATGGAGAACAATGGGCTAAGGTTGATGTAACTCGATGTTATGAGTTATGATATGATTGCACAACTTGACACAAGCCTGTTTAATTTTGGAAAATATGTTACATATATTCTTTGAAGCTAGGGCCAGGAGAATTTTATGTGATAGATCAAATAGTTCATTTATAGGATGGGGAATTCACAATGTAAATAACCCAAAATCAATAGGATATAAGCTTATTGACTGTTTTTTTTTTCTTTTTGTCATTTGCTAAAGTTTTACTATACATGTTTGCTGTTATTTAACATGGTCTCTTCTTTATAATAACAGTTTTTGTCTGTCTAATTATTGAATTACGTTCTTCACCCTTCACAGCTGGCAAATTGTGAAGAAGAACTTAACGAATCAAAGGATCTCAATGCGTTTCTGCAGGAGCAAATCGACGATATAAAGCTTCAGGTAAAGAATATGATACCTACCTTAAATGATAGCTTACTCTTCTGCTGCAAGGAATTCAAAATATATAAAACACAGAGTAACACACTGGGACCTGAACAACAACTCGTTGTCAGCCATTTTTGATTTACGTAACAAGTGTTGGGGAGACCTGGGAATAACGCATCGTCACCGCGTTACCCCGCTAATCACAGTTTCAGTTAGTCTGTCAGTTTTCGTCTAGGTAAAATATTCATTCACAGTTTCAGCTCCTTTCCGCCAAATGTTTTTTTTTCACTTGCGCATTAATATTTTAGCCTGCGTAAAGCCACCCCTCCCCGATTTTTTCTGAGGGGAGGGGCGGTAGCGCACAGGCTAGGGTGCTTATGCGGAGAGCAAAAGGAGCCCAGTAGTAGCAAGAGCCGTGGCTGTTTGCTCTTGGTAGTAGTTATCAAAATGTATCCTATATTTCTATTCTGCTTATTATTGCATGTAGTTTTTACTTTCATATTTTGTAAGGGGTTGGTTTGTTGCCTAACCGGCTTTTACCAACCTAACCGAGATGATGATGAGGCTCGCTACTATCTACTAGATACACGGCATCTGCATGTCATATTGTTTATATATATATATTTTTTTCGCATATACACAGATATTTGTCATATTACACACTTCTGATCTTAAGGACTAGCCTACAGCAAATCAGTTATTATTCTAGGAGTATCAAGACATTAAAATGAATGGGAGGGAGTTTTCCACTATTTCTTTATTTCATCCATCCTATGGCTCTTGATCCATCGTATTCCATTTGTGCTCCTTTTCTGACATCAACAGGCATCAATGGACCAGTTGTCAAGAACATCATTATTTTCTGAAATCTCTGACCTGTCTGTGATTGGAGTTGGTGCAGGCAGTGATCATTTGAAAAAGCTAGACGCGAGCACGACGAAAATAGTGAGTTAAACCTTCTGTTGACTAAGGAAATGGCCTCAGCTGGATTTTTTCTGGCGTTTTCATATTACCAAGAGAGAATAATTATTCTCTAGACAAAACGTCTTGGATTACAGTCGACTCTCTCTCTCTTTAAGATGCCGGCCACCTTGCTAAAACAGACACCCAGACTGTCTGACTTTTTTTTCCTCCTTTTAGCTGACTCCCATTAAAACAGACCTAAAACGAACACATAGTTCCGGTCCCAAAGGTAACTGTCTTATACTGAGAGAGTTGACTGAATACACCACACTAAATAACTTATATAGAACACGCCCTTTGACTGGAATAACCACATAACTTTCAACGCAATAAACACTGTGTTTATTTAAGACTTCTAAATTCCCCTTTTAGATAACGAAATCGATTTCTTTTTAGATTGGTACAGAGCAAAGACCAGTCGCCAGTCTTCACGGTTCACCAAAGCCATTACAAGCATCTTCTTCTCTGGGCCTGGGACTAAACTCCAACAAGCGTCACAGGCCGTATAGCAGCCTCAGTGACGAAGAGACAGATGACAGTGATTTGGAATACGATGAAGATGAGGTGGAGCTCGAGGTGGGCACTGTAGCGAGAAATAGAGAATTTTATGCTCAGCTTGAGGAAGAGGAGAAAGCTAACGCTCAGGTGAGACAGTGATTTTAACCTACTTTGCGCAATTTTAGCGTGTTCCATGCAGGCGTTCAGATAGTAGCGCGCGGGCGAAAAGGTGACGAGGAAAAAAAGGGGAGACTCACCACAGTCTCACCTCGTTTTTTCCCCTCGTTTTCCCCTTACGCGTACGATTTAACTCGCTTTCCACAAACTGAACGCCTGGAACAGGCTAGCGTAATTTTGCTGTTTTCTTGGAATGACTTATAGGGCCTCTTCATGTGAACCCCGTTTTGTTGGCTGGCCAGGTTTCCGAGATCTCGTCTACCCTTTAAATAGGCACCTCAGTTGTAACTTTGTGTTTCTCTTTTTGCTTAAGAACTCATCCCCAGGATCTTACGGCCTTTCCTCGTCCTGGAAACCGGGCAAGCCCGGTCAATCAGATTCATGAGAAGAGGTCCTTATTACCACGGTAGTCATCACCTAAAGCGTGAAGAAACGAAACTGAAAGATAACAAAAATTTTCAATATTCAAAGAAAATCAAACGGAAAATGCATTCAAAATAAAGTCATCTAACTTTTAGTTGTACAAGTTATTTTTCAACATCACTCATAATATTATTAGGCACACTTTTGAAATGAATGATGTGTCACAGTTAAATAAATAGTTAATGTAAGAAGACAAAGATTGTGACGTGTAAATAAATATTGATAATCCTAAGAAAAGTAAATCTCTTTTTTTTCATTACTTTCAAAAGGACGTACACAAATATGCCATAAAATTTCAAATAACAAACACACAAATTGCTTATCTGTCAACAGTTGAACCAACTGCACAGATTTACTTAACAAAAATAACTGAATGGATTTATTGTAATAACTAACAAGGCTAATAGGACATATTAAAAACGCCAAATAGTTGTTTATGTTGCTAAAATGACTGTTGTTTTTATTTTTGTTATAGCTGAAAAAGGAGATCAAGGAAGCGCACGAAGAATTACGAGCGTTATACGAAGAACTCCGAAGTTCGCACGAAAGCTTGGATTCAGTTGAAGTAGAAGAATTACATTCTGATTCAGATTTTAAACCGGGGTGCCTCACAACGTTTGTGAAGAATTTCAGAGATGTACTGGAGGAGATGATTAGTGATAATATCACTCGAACTACGGTAAGTAGCACAAACATTAAATCGTTGAATTAACTTTCAAGGCCTTGGTAGGAGTGTTGGGTTTTGGTTTGACATGGTGAAGATTAAAGTCTATAAAACCTGTTGCTGCGGTTTGTCAAAGAGGGAAGTGGGTAGTTTAAGTTAAATGTCGTTTACACGCGCGAGAGCACGCTGGTCGCAGCTTCGCCACTCACTCGCGTCTTCGCGTGGCTCGCCCAAATAGGAGAGCTTGAATGCCCAGAGGCTATATATGGTGGGTGTTAACCAGACTTGCCCAAATGCTCACAAACAGTATTTTCAAATCCCTGATATTTAGCTGATTATTTTGATACGAAAAGGTCTCAGAAAGTATTCTTGTTGGGGCTTGACATACTTGTGTAGCTTCTTAAGAGACACGTGAAAACATGGAAAGCTTATAGAAAGAGAGGTACGTATTAAATACCAAAAGATCTTGCTTAATGTTACCAACCTTTCGTGTTACAGAATTTGAAGCAACAACTTTGTAAAGCCCATGAGAGCATCGATAATCTTGAACAAGAACTCCAGGCGGCTACCTCAGATTCAAGAAAGAAAGATGAAGACATACTTAAGTTAAATGAGAAACTTCACGAAAGAAGTGAAGCCATTGAGAGGTTAAAGGAACAAAGAAATCAACTGGCGAAAGGAGAATGCAACAAATCACAGTTGGCTTTTGATATTATGTACAATGAGGCGGTAGAGGAAAGAAAAAATGCTTTAGAAAGGTAATAAGTAGTAGTTTATTAGTGCCACACAACCTAATCTATACCCTGGCAGGTTCTTCTCTATACATATTTTCATGTATGTATTTATTTGTCTATTTATTGCTTTAATGGCGTATCCGTCAGCCTTATTTTCTATGAACAACACCAATTATCAGCACTGATGCACACGTACCAACTCCGCGGTATCGCCAGTAACTTACGCATGTGCACATCCATATCACCCTGGTAGTGGCAGCCATGGACAGCTGTTTCGCCCTTGGTACGTGTGCTTCAGTGCTGATAATTGATGTCATTTTCCATGGGGCCATAAGGCGATCCAAGTCTGCAAAACAATCCATAATTCTTATCCCTGATTTGCCGCAGCTTTCTTTATAGTTTTGATCTAAGAAGGGTTTTCGCTTTGTAAGCTAATCAGTTTAAAAAAGCTCTCTGTTTCACACCGATACAGTGTGGGAACCTCGATTTGATGAACCTCTGTATAACGAACGATTTTCCAAGCCCCAGTAAAAGAAAAATATATGGAAAAGAACCTCGATATAACGAAAACCTCGTTATAGCGAACATATTTTGCCAGTCCCTTGGCCCTTCGTTTTATCGAGGTTCCAGTGTACTTAAATGGTATCATGTTATCATTTTGTGAGTACTGTAATCGGAACTTTCGGTCGCATCATCATCGTCACCATCATCATCATCATTTATTACTACCAAGTTCCTGCTGGTCGTCATCATCGTGGTCAGCATCGACGCATGCGCTTTCGGGCTTGTAGCTTCTTTCATTTCTTTTGTAGAAGTAATGGAAATCGGTTGGAACAGATCTTTGTACAACTGTTGCCAGGGCATTTTTGCATTGCCCAGTTCATTAATAAAACCCTACGACTAACGTCTGGTTTTTGTGATTTCAGGGAAAAAAAGATATCCATGGAATTACAGAGAACAAAAGAAGACAGAGAGGAACTAGATCAGCAATTGAAGGAGGCCATTCATCAAAAACTACTACTTTCAGAACAGCTAGAAGATTGGCAGGTAGGTTGAATGGTCTAATTTGTGCGAATTATCGTATTACTTCCGGGGACCCATCGGCTCTTTTTTTTTGCTATCATTTCTTGCTTCTGAGGACTTTCGAAAAGTAATACGAATGTTTCTTATCACTTTCCCGAAAATATCCAGCGATAATTGTTGTCAACACGTGAGTGAGATGTTTAAACTCTTTAATCCCTTATATCAAAATTTAGGTTCTCCTTTCTTACCCGGCTGGTTTCTTATACAGAAGAGGAGAAGTTGTATGAATATCAAAAGTATTTAACTTATGGTTACAGTGTACAACCCCGATTCCCCCAGCATTGATATTAGAAGGAGAAGTACGCTGCCGATCATCCTAAGGGATTGAAGGGTTTATGTATTAGTCCGCCGACAGCCAAAATAACCTCTGTCTTTGTCTTCTCTTTAGTTTGATATGGCTTCCCTCATTGACGACCAGGTAAAAAAACAAATGAAATCAGCGGCGAAGGAACATGACGACAACGGAAGGAGAAGAAGAGTGACAGCTTTTACGCGACCAACACGCTGGCACTGGTCAAGCAATAGCAGCAGACGACAAAGCCATGTTATGTGATCACTGGTGATAGTATCGACACGGGTTCTTCCCGTACCGGGTTGCTCCAGAGATCTTCTAAAGAGATCTATGATGACGGTGTCAAGGTGTATCACATTCTAGTCCGGCACAAGTGGGATGTAATACAGCCCAGTCGGTTCCTAATGTGTAATCTAAACGATCATTCTCCGAATGCTAAACGTCCCTGAATTTTTGCAGGATCAGATTCAGGAGTTTCTCTTGTATTTCAAGACTTCTCATAACATCTTTCGTCTTTTTAAAAGTCTCATAATTCTTTCATTTATATATTTCCCTCAATAGAGGGACTATAGTCAAACTTCAAGGTGATCTTTTCAGAGCTTTACGGGTGCGTCTTTCTTATCCGTTTATACCGTCTCACTTGTCTTTAACTGATAAGGCACAACAGTAATGCCGTCTAAAAAGAAAATGATGTATTTATTGACTATTTGCAGGGCCTTTAACCGTTGGTGAGTCTCTGTTAGTTGTAATACAATCATATTACGTAAGTTATCCAAGATGTTTACATTTAAAAATGACCCAACGTCATTAAATTATTTATGTCAATATCTTTATTTACTGTAAATTCAGATGGTAAAAAATGAGGCAGTTGCTCAGTTTTGTGTGTTTTTACAGAGTTTCTGGTCTCTCTGTTGTAAGATACTCCAGTTTTACCCTGTCCGTGTGATAAAATATGACTTGTCATTCTTAGTTCATTAAATCCGAAGTGTTTGGATTCGATGAAATAAAGCCCTCTGTTCCCCTCCAAACGCCACACCCTTCGTTTACAAAGGTCTCTCTTCTCTTCCCTGTAGTATCGAGAGTTGTGGCCTTTTGAAGTCATAAAAAGTGGTCAACTATGTTCTTACTGACTTTGCGACCGCTTTTAGAGAACTGCAAACATAGAACAATGTTGAGGCTTTTAGCTTATTCTCGTTGTAAAAACCTGTCGAATCTCGTGCGTGTCGCCGCAATACAGAGAACAAAAGATATAAGAAAAAAGAATGGAAAAAAATAGTAAACAGGAACCAAACAAAACATGGCAGGTTTTTACATCTCGGTAAACTCTAACTTTTCTAAACTGAACATGTCATAAAATGATGTTCTAGTAATTATGCCCGAAATTTAATTTAAGGTTAACTTTATGTGTAAAGCATATTTAATACTTAGTTTACTAACAAGCAATATAAAGATTACTAAAGGTGTTTATAGATCGGAGGCGTAAGAGGGGAGAAAAAACGTAGGGGACTCCCGCGCGATTGAATACGGAACTAATTTTTAAGAATTTCGGAGGCCTCTTCCAGGGGTCACTATCTTGTTTTGCTGTGGAGCGAATGGAATTGTCTTTCATTCATGATAAGAGAAACTTAATATTTTCTTAGTAGCCATTTTTCTCGCATACACTTGCCTTGCTTGTCAGAACAAGTGAAGGATCTGCTAGATCCTGGCGCGGTTTATTAGATGGTTTGCCTGTTTTTGTTCAGTTACTATAACTACGTACTTTTAACAACAAACTGTCGTAGAAAGAGCATTACAAATGACAACGGTGTCGCTCTCTGAAATTAAGTCAAACTTGAAACAGAGCAAGACGGGCTGTTATTTTCACACTTAAATCAATTTTGCGATCGTTAAGAAAGCGCTTAAGTTGCCTGATAGTGCAGCCTCGACCTCTTCTTTCATGTGGGAGTCCCCAGGGCGAAAGGGCTGAAAAAGAACTGAACTTTGTAGGTTCTTTCACATATCTCTTAGTTTGATCTCTTGGTTTGATATATAGACACACGAAGTCAGGGTAGCAGTTTTAATTTAGTGATTAAATTACTGTGTAAACGTTTAAATAACGGCTCCAATTTTATGTGATATAGTAATTAACTCAGAGTTGTAAAATGTCTTTTAATGCATAGAACGTGCACGTAAAATGTAGAAAATGTATGTCATACTTTTTGGAAGTGTAATTGAATTATAACGGAAGATTTATGGCTTTGAAAGCCTAGTTTTATCAACAGATAAAGATGTTGACAAATAAAGGAGTATTTTGACAGTGGTTAAGTTTTTAGTATTAAAATTATCTAGAAAACAACTGTATTTAGTTCTCAGTTGTTTCATTTTTGTTTCTAGGCCGCAATTATGGAACCGAACTTTATCGCTTGTGAAAAATGACAAGAATGTGTTTTGGAAAGGGTGTTTCCAACTAAGAATCATTTTTAAAGCCAGACATGAAAACAGCAGCTTCTTATACGCAATCAAAACATCATTTATTGACTTAAAATCAGTGGAACGTTTTTGTTCTACAGACATTTTAAAAAATATCTCTACCTATAATTAATTTCTGGCCTCATTTAGCACAGAATACTATAACCACAAACAGACAAAACAAAAGCGGAGCGCCCACACTTTTCCTGGCTTACTATGACAACAAAGTTTCAATGAAAGTTAACTGCTAACTTTGCTTTACATCCTATTGAAATCTCACTTGTTTCCTCTCCGTGTTACCAACCGTAGTACTTCCCTTTCTAAGTGCCCCTCTCAGGTTCTGGTTTCGAATTAAGCTAGTGTGCGCTTTTCCTTTTCCTTTGCAAGCTCTTAAATTGTTTAAGCCAAACTCGTGCAGTTTTTCAACTTGTTTTGCTTTAGGATACCTTCGAGAGCTTTCCCTTGTTGTTGAGAGTTTTAGTGGTCTTGTTTTTGCACTATTCTGCAAAGCAAGGTTCACTAAGTATGGCTTATAGGTCCTTGTTTCTTGCGGTTCAAGGTCACTCCCAGATCTTTCTTGACCAGCGGACTCGTCAACTTGCGCACTCGCAGTGGGTCTGGTTTCCTTAAGGTCTACTTGAGGGGAACACATTCTTTCCCTGGAGAAGAGATTCAACTGTCGCGAAGGCACTGTATTTTTAACAGACTTCTCTGTTGTGGGTGGGCTCGGGGTTAGAGTGTTGAGATATACAGGAATTGAAGGCAGGTTGGCCGACGAGGGTGCCTGGTCCTTAGCCTTGGGAGGTGGGATGACATCTGGCACTGGAAAGAATAAAATTATTTCTTCATAAAGATGCAATAGGTTACTTAAGTGGCTGCACATGATCGAGTAAACTGCATGGAAATGACTAAGGATATCCTAAATAACTGCAACCTTCATTTGGGGGGTTGGTTGAAAGAACCTAGTTCATTCAGTTAACGAAAGATTTCACAATTACTTTCGTTTTTTATGGTTAAGCTATGTGACTGCATGAAATCTTGCCCCGCCACGGGACGACCTGTTGCCGCATTTGAACAATTTTCATTCGTGCCAATGTTGTGACAGAGTTGGACTGTAAAAGCCAGCGAATACCTTTGACTTGCGTCAAGATTAACTTTGCACAACTGTAAGCCACTTCCCACGGTCGACATCAACTTCACTCTGCCTTTGACGCTAACCTTTTGTTTTTTCACCCCTTACGAAAGGTAATGACGGCCTTTACCACCTAAGACCATATGGCAAGGCCGGAGTATAATCTTTACCACTAGGAGTATATGCAAAGGCGAGTGGCAAAGATGATATACGGTGCGGTACATTTTCTCAACCAATCGGGAGATTACCCGGAAAGCACTGCGACTGCTGGCACACGTAATATTGTGTTTTTAGGCGCGATAACCACCACCCATTCCCTTAAGTCCTATTTGGTTATCGGATCATCTGCGTCTGAGAGCTTCACCGGAGTACCATGAAACTACGCGCACTAAAGGTTACTTGACATGTCTCACCTGCGGGTGTAACGCTAGCACTGCCTTTGGACGAAAGGTTTGTTACGTACTTCCATACCCTTTGCGTTCCATCCCCGCGGAAGTCACTCTTCGTCTGCCCAGTCTTCTGTGACCCCTGTAGTGCCTTGTTCATAATGACATAAGTTTCGCGACAAAGATTAGTGGGTCTGCTCTGGTAACCAGTCTCAGTGAGGATCTGCGCTACTTTCACGGCCAGTTCTCGTTTCTTTGGCAACTTTGGTTGAGACGTTGGGGTAAAACTTCGAGGGCATGGCGTCGTACTTCGAGGTGGTTCAACTGCCGGTGTCTCTCCCATTGGGCTTTCGATTCTAATGGAATCCAGTGCAGGGGACTTTGACGCAAGTCTAGGGTCCCTTTTGTGTAGAAGCTTGGCGGTGGTGTGGGGTTCCGGTGTGTTACCCGAGGAGGACCAGCCATGTTTAGGAACTGAAAAGGAAGTGATAATGTACCAGATATAAGTTGCTTGAAGCTAACTATGCATTTTATTACCCACAATCCGAAAACTGATTCCAAAACTATATATTGCAAAATAAAGAGGTAATATACAGTGAGAAGATATGCCAATTTAATTTAGTTTTCTTGCATTTTTACCTGGTGTTTTTGCCGCACTGTAACACTCAGCTTGTTTAACAGTAACAGGAGGCTCGGCTGTCGATGAAAACGTCTTCTCTTCCAGAGCTTGCTCGACTTCCTTTTGAATGGACGTCAGCGTCATACGTTTTTTGTCTAGCTTGCTTTGACCCGTGACTGACAGAGTCTTCGGAAAATAAGATGCATTAAATAGCGTCAAGATCTTACTCGAAAAAGGGAAATTCTAAGCCTCCAACGAGAACCAAATTACGACTCTTCCTGAATTCCTTATTTGCCACTTGCGAGATACCCTACCACTCTTCTTGAAAAAAAAAAAATAAATAAAAATGAAAAAAAAAATATATATATATATATATATATATATGAATATGATAAGCGGCCTATCACGTTCAAACGATATGTTTGCCTTAATCATTATTTCATTGTGATATTACTTCACACACAAGAAACGAGGGTGCTGATTTTTTTTTACTAGAATAAAACACTCCTTACTATTTTTTACATACAATCCTGGAAGTGTTTCTTATCTTTTGCAATCGGTACTTCTCCTACCCCGTTTGACAATTTGTTCTATTTTTGTGATCCTCGTTCAGCCATTTTGGTCAAATAAACCACCCTTACCTTACTCCCTTCACCAGATAACCAAGAATGACCTAAAACTTGAGCCATGGTGACTCTTTTTCTGGGATCCCAGGTGAGTATACAGCGAATCATGTGCTGACACTCTGAAAGAAAAAAAAATGCTTATTATGCTAGTGAAGGCTCGACTACAATCTCTGAAGTCGTATAGGCTTGACTCCCCAGATGACCGAGAAAAAGGTTTGCAGAAAATTGCAAAAACAGTTGGTGGTCTGGAAACTTTCCTTTTGAGACTTAAATTAATGTTAGTGAAGGATCGACTACGATCTCTGGAGTCGTATAGGCTTGACTTCATCGATGAGTTGACCGAGAGAAAGGTTTGATCTAGGCTTCCTCTCGACCTTCGTATTAACCTACAAAATTGCTGTCACTAGCCTACGCCAGAGATGACCTACATAGTCAATAGTAACAATGTTCCTATCACGACTATTTCAAAATAAGGGACTATCTACTACCACCAATACCACTACTACTACCACCACCACCACCACCACCACCAGTTTTTGTCTATGTTGAATGACTATTAATACCTGGTGAACACAGGTTTCCAGCAGGAAAAGCTAGTTTTCTCCTAGTCTGTGCTATAAGCGAGTGAAGACTACTGTCGTTGAAAGGCAATCGCCCGCATACCATTGCATATAGAATTACTCCCCTGAAAAGTAAAAAGCGTAGAGTTTGTTACCAAATATCGCTAGAACGAGTAAAAGAAAGTCACTAAGAATCACAGCGCAGATGGTAGAAATGAAGGTTTTCACGAAATAAAGGTGGCTCTTTTTTTCAACATTCTTCATAATTCACATAACTTTCAAGTTCAAAAAAGCTTGTCTACTAACAGGCTCCACACGTCAGCACATTTTCCGTCATATTTCTGCGCCTGCAGTATCTCAGGTGCTGCGTAAGCGTACGACCCACAGAAAGTAGACAACAACTTGCACTTGTTAGTAGGATAACGCGTTGCGAAGCCAAAATCTGTTTAAAGACAGATTAAGCTATGGTTAGTCAAAAAGAAATAGAGGATGTTACATGGCCGCGCGAGAATACGAATTTTATCTTCGAGTGCTGAAAGTATCTCTCATGAGTGAGCTAAGCGAGCAAGTGAGAGAGACAGTGAGAGATACTTTCAGCACGAGAAGATAAAATTCGTATCCCCAAGCGGCCATGTAATGTTTTGTTTATTTTATAGATTTTGATGAAATTCCTACATAAAACACAACTTCTTAAAATTTATTTTCGAAACAGCAAAATAGTGCAATTAAAGAGAGAGAGAACGCTCGGGCTCTACGGGTTGCCAAAAGACAAGCAGCTAGCGCTCTGGGAAAGAGTTTTGACGCACAGGGGGAAGTAACCAAAATATTAATCATGATTCCTACTCTGGAATTTACCTGACACTTTGACAATGTTGTCCTTATCAAGTAGAATATTCTCGCATTTAAGATCCCTGCAAGAGATAAACGATAAGTACTTGTTTTTTCAATGCTAATGGAGTCGTTCGATAAAATTTCGTTCAGAGCTGTTGCTCTCAAATGATTTGCTCCTCCTCCTCTCCTATAACTTTCTTAGGCTTGTGATTTGAAATTCTGATTCTACTTATTATGGGTTAGTCACACGCAAATATTAAGTCGGTCAAACCGCGGTTCGTGAAGCGAGGTTGGAACAAATTTCCGCGAATGCAGTGAATTCTGCTCTGTAGTAGGACACATGGCTCACGTCATCAAAAGTTGTTAATTGTTTTTAACGAAAGGAATTGCCGATCAAGTAAGACCTGGTTGGACTATTTAACAATTATTCCTCGAGCCCGAATTGGCTCTGAGTCAATAGCCATGAGGCCGAAGGCCGAATGGGCTATTGACTTCGAGGCCATGAGGGCGAGAGGAATAATTGTTTTAGTAAAATCCAACTAGTTGGTAAAAAATATCGAGACAAAACAACTTTAGCTAGTTAAAGTAAGACTTTAATCCTTTTTTGCCGCCAAAAAGCGCGCGCTTTTCGCTACTAGTAGGCTATAACATATAGAGTAGTAGTAGCTCAACCAATCAGAACGCAGCATTGATAATAGACGACTACTTGGATTTTACTAAAATTAGATATCTCCGGGTATGTTCCTCGAGGCTCTTCGTTTGCTAGACACCATACACCGTACGTTTTCCAGTGCTTTAAACTGTATAACTAGACGCAGCCAAAAATCGGGCGCTTTCCGCTACTAATGGGCTATAACATATAGCCTAGTAGTAGCTCAACCAATCAGAACGCAGCATTGATAATAGACCTCTAGTTGGATTTTACTAAAAAAGTAAAGCAATCCTTCAACGCTTGTGCGCACCAAAAAAGGGGGGATGCAACGCTTTAAATGCAACACAAATGCTATACTAGTCTATTACTTGCATCTGACCTGTGAACTACATTTCTCCTGTGACAGTGTGCCACTCCCTCAGCAAGCTGCCTGAAAAAATTTTTAGCCAGCTCTTCTCCAATTCCTATTCCTCTTCTTGTCCTGGCGTTTATGTAATCTAATAAGTCTCCTTTGGAAGCATACTCCATCACAAGGAATATTTTAGTGTCCGTGTGGAACGTTTCGTAAAGTTGAATCTACAGAGAGAGATTGAGCCGTAAGTGAAATTTTACCCTGAATCAGAACAGTGAGAGTATCAGCGAACACTAGATGAGCGCAGTTCGATCTAGCAAAATCGCTTAGTCACTTCACCCTAATTCTGGTACTTTATCTCTCCTTGCCCTTACTGATCAAATACCCTTTAGAAATTGCAAGACAACTACAACGAAACGAGGTCGGATATCGAATTGAACAACATTCCTCAGCAAAAGCAAGGTATAGGTTTAATTTGCAAAGAGCCAGCATGCCATGATTAGGAGCTCCTTTCTCGAAAGTCTAAGTAACTTTCCCGATCCGGCCCAATGCCAAATATTAAAATCAGAATCTGAAGAATTAAAAGCTATCAATTCATTTTGTTTTGTCAGCTCGTGGTTTTAATATATTTTCTGCAAAACTATCGAAACCTCGATCTTGAAATGAATAAAACAAAAAAAATTCTAGCCCGGCAATAACTGATACTTTCGAATTGAACGAATCCCAGAAACCCTTTTATTATTTCGTCTAAGAAATTATTTACCACGTTATGATGTCTGCAAGTAGCATTAAGAGAGTCAATCTCACGCGGCATAAACTTCGACAGATACTCCGACGGTGCTTTCTTCCTACAAATTAATTTAATTGCCACCTGATAAAAGAAAAGTATGACAAGATTTTTCCACAGACGAAAACAAAAATTTCAAGGGAATAACAATAAAACAAAGAACGCAAAAAATAAAACAAAAAGCGTGCTAGATTCGTACCATATTGTGTCCTTTTTCCACCAGATCCTCTGCTAGCCTCTTGTCCTTTTCAAGTTTGTTTTCCATTACATAAGCCAGCTTGACCTTGGCGTACGCCCCTGTTCCTAGGACCGTTTTAGTCAACTTGTACCCTCTTCTCTCGCAATCAACCTCTTCTAAAGTCATTGAGGAACGAAGTCCTACAAAAGCTGAATCTCGCACATTGCTCACAGGCCGACTAGAATTCATCTGTAAAAAATGACCCACGACTTATATCCTTTTTTGATCTAAGAATTTCTTGCAGCTCACGGTTCCAAGAAAAAATATGTACCAACAAGAGTCAAACATGAAAGCGCCAAAATCAACAGATGCTCGTAAATTTTTTTGATATTTAGAATCACGAGAATAGATATGTCCCATAAACCAAATTTTCTTGCGAGCTTTCTTTTGTGACGTACATTCTTGTAAGCTTGCGCGCTCATTCCGTTCATTTCTTGATTCTTTCGTTCTTATTTAGAATGCCCTTATTCCGCTTTCGGGCTTTCCCTATTTTTTTTTTCAACAAAATCATTCCTATTCTAATCAACTGGACAACCGGGAAAAAAATGTCCACTCCCAACAAGAAATCCTTCTAATTATTTTATTGACTCGCTTCGCTAATGGCAGAGTTTTTACGATTATTTTGTAGAAAAATTCATTCTGTTTTGTTTTTGAAGCATAGAAGCCTTATTCTATACATCTCCAAATATTTTTGATTCAGTACGTGTTCAACTCCAAGAAATCAGAACATCAACCAAAGTCACTAAATATCGTGTTTCCCACGGTAAAACCTCGCGCGAAAGTTTTGATCATTTGATTGGCTTTGAATCACACGAGGAGCGTGGAGTAAAAATGGCGAACGAAACCCTCCAAGTGAAAAGGCGAAACCCAGCTATTTTTCAGTTAAGAGCAGGAGGCGAGTTTTACATGATCGGTAGTGAAGTTGGCCATCAAATGGGCCTGATGAAAGGAGCTTTGTACAAGAAATTCCCTTCTCTCTGGCGCCGTCCACCGACCATTGAAGAACGAAGAATTTTGTTGTCGTTGAATGTGGGTTACAACAGCATGTCCAACTCAAACATAATGCTTGTGAAGGAAGGAGAAATTGAGAAAATTTTTAAAGGTTTTGGGGAGAAGTTCATGGAAAAGCTTCCCTGCTCTCCCGTGACTGCCGGTGATCGGGGGTTGAAGGATTTTTCTCCGCGCTGTAGGCGACCAAACTTTACAGGACCGGTTCATTTTCCTGCAAACTGCTCAAGGGATATTCTCAACTCATCCGTTCAGCATCTTAATGCGGTTTCTTATCAGACGAAGGCATGCACTAAATTTTGCAGCAAGTTTAGTTGGAGGGCTCGAGAAGAACTGAGGAAAAAGATTCTTCCAAGCTTGAGGTAAAATAATCTTTCATCCTAAAACTTTGTATTTTTTTGCGGACACACTTTCAACAAAATTTGAATATAAAATCTTGTAAGAGGGTAATCTTACATAACTTCCACTGCAAATTGTGAAAGTTAAAAACTACCCATCGTTTTACTCTTTTGTGTAGGAAAACAATGCCAAGTATTATTTTTTTTAGCCATGAAACAAGCTATAAGCTTGTGTATAAACTGTTAAGCTTAAATGTTTGTGCGATAAATCGCAAGATTTCTACGAACCACATGTAGGCGGTTTCTTCACCGTTACTGCAATTTCCTCCAAATGGCTCATAACTCGTTTCATTTTATCTCATCACTGGTTGTTCAAGATGCACTGAATAAATGTTGAATTTAAAGCTAAGTTACTAACACTGACATGATACGTTTGATGCATAAAACCCAAAATAGACTTACCCGCGTGTCCGCGGAAGCCATTGGCAAACTGACCAAGTTTGTCGGTTTCACCATATAGAACCCATTTGTCAACAGTTCACTTTGAACAAACTATTTTACCAAGGCCGTCTCACTCTGACAAGTTGATCGCTTTCAGTGAAAAGTAAAAAATCAATGTTTATACCCCATTAGCTCCCGTGAATTTCACTATGGGGATTTTCTTCTCCTTTTTACTATAAACTTGAGATTAATTCAGTGAACAGAAAAACGAAAACGACTCAATTTCCCTCCAGAGCATTTTACTATTACCCGCTGCATTTACATCACCTATGAACAACAGTAACTTTAAACCTTTTTTAGCTTTGGTTTAATAGACAGGCCTTGTAGGTTTTTTTGATTTAATTCTGACGGTTTTGGCCAACTTTACCAGTTTAGCAAAAAGCATGATTTCTTGATGTTCTGATTAAGTTGAGTCAAACTTTCACTCATTTTTACTCAAATAATTTTTTTCATTACTCAAGAATTAGCGATAGTTTGGCGTTGCATTATTTAAACGCTTTACAGTCCGTCTTTCAGCTTCTTTCGGACAACTTTCGGACTCTGTTTTTTGCATGTTTTTGAAACAAGCAAAGTTTTTTGGCGCGAGTCGCGCGAGCCTGGAAACGATTAGTCAGCTTGCCAAGAACTGTGGGTAAACGTGATTGAATGAAAGGCAAGATGGCGGTCCGAACGTACGGTCAAAAACCAGCTTCTTTTCAGCTCGGAGATGGCGACTCATACATGATAGGATCCGAAGTTGGAAACTTCCTGCGAATGTTTAGAGGCTCTTTATACAAAAAATACCCTTCGTTATGGCGAAGACTCGCCACTTTGGACGAACGAAAGCAAATCGTTCAACTAGGGCTTGGACACAGTAGCATCGCCACAAATGTAACCTTGTTAAAATCTTCCGAGGTGGAAGAAATCCTCGAAGGAAAGGACGAGAAATATAAAGTTTCTACGGAAACACCCGATGCAGCAGCTCGGGCCGTGAGTGGTAAAGCAAAACGTAGCAGCCAGCCAGCATGGGCACCACAAACTTTATTTTCTAGTAATTCTTTTCACTTGGATGCAGTACCTTGTTCTACAACTGTGAACAGGAATCGCATGGGACAAAAAAGGATTAAGACCTTCCCTACATGGTAATCTACTGGTACTTAAGACGATTTTTCTAGGATATGGAGTATTGACAGAATGCCTTGCCACTTAAAAAAAGACCTATGTTTATTGTTATTGTTATTAATTTCGACATACCATGTCGCTGGCTATGCAGAAAGTAGTCATTATGGCAGAGTATTCTGCAGTTAAACCAACTCCAAGCCAAGTTGCTTTTTAAAACACCATGTAATGTATGATTTACGTGTTGCTGGGCTTTCAGGTTGTTACACGCAATGGCAGAGTGCAAAGAAAGTCAATTTTACAGCTTGTTATTTGGGCAAGCTGTAGCTAGCATGTAGTAGACCAAAAGTCATTTCAATTAGCCCCCCCAAAAATTTTGATGAGTACTGATTACAGTTTTTCTGTAAATTTGAATTCCCAAAAAAGCTTCACTTGCTCGCTGGACACTATTATTTTCTTTGTAAGCTGAATGGGATTCTAAACCATACAAGAATATTTTTGGTTGGGTAGTTTTGTGATACCAATGCAAAGCTATACTCTAAGAAAAATTGAAGAGAGCCCAGTGCTGAAATCTGTGAAATCCAGGGTAACCAACATATGAGCTCTATGAAAAAGCAGAGATTCCTTAGTCACACAAGAAAATAGTAAGATACCACGGATCTATGGGAGCTACTAGAGCACAGCCCTGCATGGCATGTTAAACAAATTCTTTTGCATAAGATACAGAAGAAAAGAGACTGATAGGAGACAAAATTACAGTAGAACCTCTGTGATACAAACAGTTCTCTTGGTACCAGGTCACTTGTCACTCTATAATCTACAACAACATTTCTTTAGGTCCTAAAGACGGTGAACTTTAAGCAACTGTGCTCCTTCAAAAAGGAGACCTCTTTACTGTACGCATTTAGCTTTGTACCCTTGGTGTCTGTTATTTATCAGATTTTTCTGTTGTATCAAGCCAAATAGTGTATGATTGATGTATTTTTCTTGTTTGTTGACTTCCCTCATTCATGATGGAACTCACATCAGTATGTCATAATACAGATAGGTGCATTTGTCAGAATAGGCTGTTTTACAGTTGCAGGCTTAGTGTCCTAGCCTTTGAGTGAATGTGAGGGTGAGGTTGATCATATTTTGAAACAAGCCTCCTTTTCTGACAGAAAAAATTATGCTTAAAAAATAATAGTATAAGAAAAACATGACTTAGATAATAAAACAAGAAGGGCTGTACCAAGGCAAGGTCAACTCCAGCCTCATTTCCACCTGTAACTGTTAAGTGGTCTATTAAGCATTTCCCTAATTAAAGTTAACAGGAGTACACCTCTTCAGCTTATATGTATTGTTTTCCAACGTTAGATCATGAGATAATACTCAAGAGAACTCTTTCTTTCAAATGTAGTTATATTCACATATGTCTTGAAAAGATGAAGAGCAAATTCCCTTGAGACGTACATTGAGAAAAACAAAACATACAGGCTGAGGTGGTCTATTCAAGTTGTACTAATAACAACTCTTATTATATATTTCTTAATGTTTCAGTTATGATGATCACGACATGGCAGCTATCCATGAAGCTGCTAGTCAGCCTGAAGTGTTAGTCCCCATCAGGCTGGACATTGATATTGATGGACAAAAACTCAGAGACACATTCACATGGAACAAAAATGGTGTGTGTGCTTATGTTATTTACTTTTGATATTTCAAAGCAGAAATTTAGGTATCAGCAAGAAGGGGTTTCAATGAAAATTGAAGTAGCCAGCAGGTTTGAAAAGAGTAACCGACTATATCAACAAGGGGCCATTGGTCCCCTTTTTCTAGGGGGGAGGGAGGGGGTCTGGGCACATTCTGCCCAAGAAATTTTGAGATTTCAAAGCCCTAAAATGTGAGTTTCAGTGTTCTGGGAACTAAATGTGAGGACAAAAGAGAATAGATAATTGAACATAGTTTCTAATAATATTATTTCATAATCAACCTATAAAGCAGTATTTTACTGTCCACCTACCCATATGTATCAGTGCAATAAGACAAGTTCTAAATTAAGTCTTTTTTGTTCTCAGATAACAAATCAAAGTACCATCTGTCAGATTTGGGAATCTTCTTGAATTTATTTTAACCATTAAAGTATTAATTTTCACTGCGCAAAGGAAGGTTCTTGAGTTTCTTTGCTCTGGAAAATAGTAAGGAAGATCAAATTAAAATGAAAATAATAAACTGGTTGTTTTAGCTTTTAACTTCTGACTGAAAAATATTGTTTAGATCATGTTGTTTGTTTGTTTGTTTTTCTTGTTTTAAGTTGTACGTTGTTTTTTGGTTTAAAGTCACTGAAGATTAAGGGTTAAGTTTGGTTTGCCTTTCTTTGCAGAGACGTTAATCTCTCCAGAGGTGTTTGCTGAAGTGCTGTGTGATGACCTAGATCTGCCACCAGCATCATTTGTACCTGCTGTAGTGCAGGCCATCAGGCAGCAGATAAAACAGTTTGATTCAGATTCTGAAATAATGCTTGATCAACAAACAGATCAGAGAGTTATTATCAAGGTGGAGAGTCAACGAGATTCAGTAGTTAAACTTAACTTCTCAAACTGATTAATTATGTATAATACTCTTGTCTTCAAGATACCCACCATCTTCACATGTGCATTAGGATTGATGGGGTAAAAGTGATGTCACCTGGTATTTCAGGGGGAAGACAAGTGATAAAATTTGCCAATACTCACAATCGTGGTGGGGTTTGTTCCTGTATGAGACAATGATGTTAGTCATGCAAAATGTACAGCTCAAGTTTCAACAAGTTTTACTGCATTATCGTGCATTGTGAAGACATCTAGGTTCACTGCTGCTTCCAAAAAAGAAACAATATGATCACTTACACAACCGTAATTTACTTCTTTAAGATGAAAAGTTCTCCATGTTCTGTTGTCTAAAATAAACAAAATCAACAACAATTTCTTGTATTTTTTCGAATTTTATCACTTGTTTGTTCCCTGAGAAACCATGTGGCATGGCTTTTATCCCATCGCATACAGTGATGGGGCATATTGTGAATAAGGTCTATTTGATTGTCTCATTTTGGTTGGGTACAAGTTGGCACTAAATGGTCTCTTACTTCCTTTCTTTTGGCACAAAATTTGAGATTTGAGGTAATTTTATCATGGGATAGATTTTTGCTCTTGGACCATCTTCATTTTCTTGAATAACTTGTGGGTTTCTTTAACCTGTATTAAATGGTCATCTTGGATTAAATGGTCAGTAAGCCATACCCTAAGACTGTATTATGACTTTTTTGGTAATTTTCATCCACAGCTAAACATCCATGTTGGTAACATTTCATTGATGGATCAGTTTGAGTGGGATTTGTCAGAACCTCAAAACACGCCTGAACAGTTTGCACTGAGCCTTTGTTCTGATCTGGGTCTTGGTGGCGAGTTTGCCACAGCCATTGCTTATAGCATTCGTGGTCAGTTAAGTTGGCACTCTAAAACATATGCCTTCAGTGAGGCACCATTGCCAACTATTGAGTCACCCATTAGATCAGGTACAGATGTAGATAACTGGGGTCCATATCTTGAGACATTAACAGACGCTGAGATGGAAAAGAAGCTGCGTGACCAGGACAGAAATACCAGGTTAGTGCTTTCTGATATTTATTTTAAGGACAAAAATCTTAACTTTTTTGCACCTTGTTTTTCTTACTGGAGATCAATGACAAGCAATGAAACTAACTCTTCTTGTAGCACTATGGCAAGGGGTGTCTATGTAAGTTATTCATTAATTCTCATTGTAGATCTATTTGAAAAGTTGCTTTGTTTCATGGTTTATATTCTGAGGGAGTAACTAAATTAGCCCGCAGGACCCCATGCTGTTTCACTGGCTGGGTGTTGACTGACATCATGCTGTAATCCGATGACTTATCTCACTCAGGCGTATGAGTAGCTGCTTTCTTTCTTCCCTCCTTCTCTTGAGTCCTCGTCGGGACCTCAGTTCATTCATAAAGATGCCCAAACAGATTCACGGGCTTGTTGTCTGCTGAGGTGCAAAGGGGACACGGGGGATGATTTTCACCGCCTCTTCACTATGTCTTTGCTTTTCATTACTTCGTTTTTTAACATGTGAACTAATTAGCTGGGCAAAGATCTATGGTTTGTATTAGACGTTTAACAAACTGTCAGAGACCAAGAGAGTTAGATTGAGATTTAAGCACTGCTGGAGAAACTTTGTACAAATTCTCTTTCTCCTTTGGTGGGTCTAGCCCTAAGAGTGTCCAGCTCCTAATCTCTGCGTATGGTTTATATCACTGCCAAGTTAAATGCAAGGTCATGAGTTGTGTCACTCATCTCATGACTTCATCACTCGCTTTGATAGTGTCCCTCGCGCCTTTGGCCCTTAGCAGTCGACTTTTGGCAAGTCCAGCTCATGAGAATACAGGGAATATATCATCCAAAATTTGCTGTATTGATTTCTAAACAACCTTTAGCATCACGAGAATTGCATGCAGTTTGTTATGGAGAACATGAATTTTGACTCTAGCATGGTAACTTATATTATGGTACACTGCCTTAATTACACATGTAATTACACACTTATTATAAAGTGTGACATATTGCATTCTTTATTTCTTTTTTCAGGCGAATGCGACGTTTAGCTAACACTGCTCCTGTGTATTGAAAAGCGTTCAAAACCCACCAGAAAACAAATGTAAATAAATATGTGTGTAGTGTGCCCTCTTCTATGTAAATAAGTTAGTTGGAAAGTGTTTTGTTTGAAAAAAGTCAAAAACCTTAAGAAAAGAAAGAACTGTTGATATTTTCTGTTACTGGTGTAGTTATAAAGAGAAGTGATTGTACCAATGGAACACTGTAGATTTTAAAAGCTGTGGCAATGATTCTGAAGGGAAAACCTTAATAAAGACAACAAACTATGCATTGCCTTTGCCTTGTGCCTTGTGGCTTCTCCACTTATCACCCCTTATGAGTGCTCAAATTATCTATTGTGACTCAAAAGAAAAAATAAGAGACTGCTCACAGTCTACCTTTGATCCAATATAATTCTGCCAGCCAAACGTTGTGGAATTTGAAAAATCCTACTGAAAAGATACATTCTTGTTAAAAAGTTTCTGATGTTTTGTCCTTTGCTGTTTGTTTTTTGTTTAGTTTTTTTTTTCAGTTCTACATGTGTTCTTTTGCCCTCAGTTTGAATGCAAAATTGATAGAATTGTGATGGTGAATTTTAAACGTAATGAATACGCGAGAAAGATAGAAGGCATCTTTCTCACAGTCTCAAATGTCATAAACCAGACGCCAAAAGGCGTTTACTGGGCTGCCATAAACCTTAGACTAGACAGAAAAGTTGTATTGTATGGAAACGAGAAGTATACCAGAATAGACAGCCGTTGGATAATGGAAGAAAGTAACTAAAACACTAAAGCCATTCCCATTGCACCACCCCGACCCACGGGGCTCATTCTTTCCACAAGCAACATATTGCGTAAATACAACCGTAATCTTCCTTTATTTTGTCAAGTATATCTATATATTAACGTAAACAACAGCATCTTATGCCTCCATCTCATAATCTATAATCTAATCTCATTGTTACTGTTAATCGTTCTTCTTTCGCTGTGGGTTAAGGACTCGCAAAAGCGCCCAAACGTTTCTAGTAGTTCCATACAAATGGAATTCATTGAAAAGCATATTCAATGAGAACATTTTGAATTTTGCAGTCATTGATTTCTTAAATAGGATCCCTAGTCCTTTCTTGCTCAGAAATAAGGAAATCTTCCACTGGAATTGAAACTTTCATTTCTTCTCTTTGCGCATACACATTCTTGGGCAAAGAACTCTCCAGAGTTTGCCAGGGCAAAATCGTAAAAAAACTGCTTAAAATAGTTTAGTTAAACTTTAAAATGATGTCTTCAACGGTACTGAGTTGTTAATGTTAAATTGGTTACCGTCGAACGACCACTTTAGGTATAAAATATGTACCTTGAGAGCCCAGTAGTAACTCTAGGAAGTGGCATTTAAACAAGCCTGAATATTTTTTTGTATATCCAATATGAAATTTGCTTTAGCTCCTTAGTGAAAAGGAAACGTGAAAAAATGGTCGAGAATATATCGTCTCTAATATTTTTTGATAGTTCTACTAGTTAGTAATTATTTCTTATTTTATTCTCGTTTAAGAAAAAAAA